AAAATTAAAAACTTATTAATCCTACTATTAATATTACATCAAGTTTACTTAATAATGATTTAAGTGGTTGGGTTGGTGTAGAAACATTAATCATCTTATCATTAATGATATTCTTTGCATTCTCTTCATTTATTAATATAGAAATGATTTCATTCTTTAGAATTACTAAACATCAATTAAGTGATTCGTATTCTATTATATTTGCAGGAAATTATTTATCAAGAGTTGGACCAGCACTTGCAATGAATTTTATCCATATGATTAATTTTACATCTAATCAATATTCAAATATTCAAACACAAACTGCATTCCAAATAGTCAATAAAGGAATGGAAAAAGTTCCATTCTTTGGAAGAAATAGTTTTAATGACACATTCCCAATGTGTATATTTTGTATTATGGTATTAAGTGCATTATTCATTGGGATTGATTATAGAAAAGTCTTTAATTTTGTTGTTGGTCTCTTAAACTATATCTTTTCTTGTGTTGATGGTATTGGAATTGATGAAATTATTTATACGTCAGAAAACGAATCTTATAAAAAAGGTGTTTTATTAATTAAAAAGAGATTATTAGATGACTCTAAAAATCTTCCTGAAAGTGAGTCTAAACGTAATTATAGAAAAAGTGTTATGTCAATCCATTGGAGAGTGAATAAAAATGGTTATGAGCTTCATAATGATGATGAAGAATTAGTATAAAACATTCTTTCATTTTTTATTGTTATATAAAACCAAATTTTTTAAGAAGAAAAAAGGAAAAATAAAAAATATTTTACAAAGAAAGGAAAAAAGGAAAATTATTAGTTCTGAAGGGAATGGACGAAGTTTCTCCAACAAAACATTTTACAAGTAAACCATTATTACCAACTAAAACCCCAAGAGACAAGGCAATTAGTCATTATGTTAATGCATTAAATTCACCAAGAAATGTTGTTAAAACAGAAATACCAGAATGTGGGATACAAATAATTGATGGAGATGGGAATTTTGCATCGACTGATACAAGAGAAAGACCATCATTAAAAAATTATATTTTATCAAAACCAGAATTCTTAAAACGAGGAATGGATTATAATGCAGTAGGTATATTAGGTGCTCAAAGTAGTGGAAAATCTACATTATTAAATTATTTATTTAATACAAAATTTAGGATATTAAATGAAGTTATGGGAAGAAGTAGAACTACCCATGGAGTATGGATGGCATTATCAGGAAAAGAATCAAATATTGTTGTATTTGATTTAGAAGGTACAGATGGATCAGCACGAGAAGATGATTATTCATTTGAAAGAAAAACATCATTATTTAGTTTATCAGTATGTAGTGTATTAATGGTTAATTTATGGTCACATGATGTTGGAAGATTTCAAGCATCAAATATGTCATTGTTAAAGACAGTGTTTGAATTAAATCTTCAATTATTTGTCAAAGAAGAAACACCTAAAACGTTGATTGTTTTTGTTATTAGGGATAGAGAAGCAGATACACCTTTTGACCAAATAGAAAGAGATATTATGGAAGATATTATGAGAATTTGGGATACAGTGATTCCACCAGAAGAATTTATTAATT